GTTTATTTACACATATCTACAACCTGCACATATGATAGAGGGATTCACAGCATTAACATGCCAACGATCTTGCTTCTCCATTAATCACAGCTTTGGATACAGCACAGAGCAAGCATGTCCCTGTGTCTCCAGCTTCCAGTCTGCTTCCAGCTCAACTCAGCCACTCTGGCTATGCTTTTCCTACCTGACAGCTAGTTTGGGGTGAGGATAAAGCCTATCCATTTTTTCCATGGCACAGAGCAACATCTCCGGTTCTGCTAATTGTTGTGACTTTACTAGCTAGCCTAAATCATTACCTCAACAAAGGAACTGGTTTATTGCAGCCTTGCAATAGGTGAAATGAACTCAGGACAGCAGCCAGACTGACACCCTCCGAAACACATTAGGATATGAAGATCTCTCAGGAAAGTTTTTGTAATTATCTCAACCTGACCACCAGATGGCAGCAAACTCAAGCTAACTGAAATTGGGCTTTGCTTGGTTGCTTAAGCCTTAAGTGACCAAATTTTCATATAAACTCAAGCGCGCTCTCGCTCGCTCCCTCCCTCCCTCCTTTCTCCTAGTGCAGGTCCCAATGTGGCTCACAACAAGAATGGAAACAAATACAACTAAAAATACACAAGCAGTGTAAAAAAAAAAAAGTAACTCTATTAAAAACTGCATTGAAAACACTAAAGCACTTAGAAGTGCACAAAAAAAGAAAATGTACACTCCCAGCACTTGCATTTAAAAGTTTCAAAATAAGAGATTTGGGGGCGCAGTTTGTATACCTTTAGAACATGGGAACATGCCTTACACAGGCTGACCATAATTTATTTTTACATAGTAATATACTGCTCGCTAAAGAATTGATGCTTTTGAATTATGGTGCTGGAGGAGACTCTTGAGAGTCCCATGGACTGCAAGAAGATCAAACCTCTCTATTCTTAAGGAAATCAGCCCTGAGCGCTCACTGGAAGGACAGATCCTGAAGCTGAGGCTCCAATACTTTGGCCATGAGAAGAGAAGACTCCCTGGAAAAGACCCTGATGTTGGGAAAGATGGAGGGCACAAGGAGAAGGGGACGACAGAGGACGAGATGGTTAGACAGCGTTCTCGAAGCCACCAGCATGAGTTTGACCAAACTGCGGGAGCCAGTGGAAGACAGGAGTGCCTGGTGTGCTCTGGTCCATGGGGTCACGAAGAGTCGGACACGACTAAACAACAAAACAACAACAAATATATTGCTTAATACTTAAGGCAGTCTCTCTAAGTAATTTACAAATTAACAAGTACATCATAACAATGAAACTGAGAAACTACAATAAAACTACAGTATGGGCTCCTCTGAGATGAAAGGAAGGATAATAATAACAACAATAATGAATGCAATGCAATACTAAAACGCTGCTCAAGATTGCTTTGTCTACACCTCTATTGCATGGCTGGAATGAGTTCTAGAAATCACTGAGGCCCTGTCTGCACTACACATTTAAAGCAATATCACAGCACTTTAAACAGCCATGGCTTCACCCCCAAAATTATGGGATGGTTTGAGGGACCCCCACTCCCCATTCCCCTCACAGAGCTACAGCTCCCAGGGAACTTGGTAGCTGTGTAAGGGGAATAGGGGGGTCGCATTGATCCATAATTAAACATATACAGGGTGAGATTTAACTAATGAGCCCCACCCAGCAGAAGCTTATGCAAGTCTTCTGCTAGCACAATGGGGCTTTCATCCCCTCTCCTCTAGCCCACTGCGTGCCCCCCCCAAAATTGGTTCTGAGTTAGTGGGGGAACCCCCAGAACAGCACACAAGCAGAAATGAGAGAGAAATCTGCTTAGTGCTTCATTGAGTTTTCCTTTTTGAAACTGCTAAAGTGCAATGTCTGTTTTTTTTTCTTGATGACACATCCTGTTTGATGGTTGTATGGAACATCGTGGCAGGAGTAAAGTAGATGGCATTTGCAACATTGTTACCACACTGCAAACAACATAGTTTATCATCTCAGTCCTTTAATACAGTATTTTTGTGGAGAAGCATTCATGTCATTTGGTGGTTGTTAGCTCCCCCACAGTACAACCCCCAAGTTGGGTGCTTCTTTCTTTCTTTCTTTCTTTCTTTCTTTCTTTCTTTCTTTCTTTCTTTCTTTCTTTCTTTCTTGATGACACTAAATAGCAACTCTGCTCCCACTTCTTACTACCCTGCTTTTTCATCAGTCTCTGGATTTACACACACACAAACACACACACAGTGTATCCATGACTCCATCCCACCCCTTTTAGCTTCTTGGCACTTTCTCACTCACAGGTTGAGTGACAGTAGCAATGAAGACTGAAATGTAGGGCCTTATTTTTAGCTGCATGTAATTGTTCTCTCTGATTTATATGCATTATAAAATGAAATTTATTTTTTGCAGATGAGAAGTGTGTGTTATGGCACAATTATACATTTTTAATTGTGCTTATTTTATGTACTCTTTTCTGATTCATTCTCTTTTCAGACCAAATTCATAATTTATCCAGGGACCATTTCTCCCCACGGTGGTTGTTAATTCAGTATTACAACATAGTTGGGTAGCAAGGGCTTGTCTGAAGATTTGTTTCTTGCATTGCTTTTTCCATCACAGGATGAATGATAACTAATGTGAGAATTGGTTATGAGTCACACCTGACATTTACCTGCACTTTTGCAGACAGACACACACACACACACACACACACACACACACACAAAGTTTACACTAGTGCAAGTTATAATGAGACAAAGTGGCAGAGAGGAAAACGCTCCTGAATTTCGTTTTGTTTTTAATACACCTTGGAATTTTATGTTTTCTATTTGTCATGTGGGTATTTAATTGCTTCCTTTGTTTGCAAGTAATACTGTAGATCTCACACTTTCCTCCTGAAGATACCTGAAGATTGCAGGCTGCAAGTGCAATCTGCATCTGAATTTGTAACCCTGCATGCAGGATTCCCTTTCAGACCGTGTAACTTTTTTTTTTTTTTTTGTATGGAGCATCATCCCTGGTGGAAATAGAGGGCCAGGGGATTAGCAGGATCAATGCAGGTGAGGCATTTCAAACAAGGGATTGTTGTTAAAACTACGAACAACCTTTAAAGCTGATGCAGCTCCCACGTCAGTCGGAAGCAGCTGTCAGCAAGCCCTGTTAATTTATCACCCTTACACTCCAAATTTTTCTTGCTACCACAGACTCTGCCATAGGAAAGGAAGAACTGTTTTCAGTGGTGCTATCAGGGCAAGACTTTGAAATAGAAACCCAGGGCCCCAAACGGAGTAAGGCTTGGAGGGGAGGGAGGGTTTTTTTTGGGGGGGGGATCAAGTAATAAATAAATGTCCTGAATAAGTAAATGTTGAAGTAAGTGAAGTAATATACATGACCATCCAAAGCAGGGGGCGTGCCTTTCAAGACCATAAAGTCCAGAGTTTAAAATTCCCTACCAGCACTGCTGATCATTTAACATCTTTATCTGTTGAAGGACATTTGTCCATGTGTGCAAAATGCAGCTGCATCCTAGGAATTGCTACAGCCAAGTGGAACATGCAGGTACACCCCTCTTCTTCTGGTACATTATAATTGCTCATCTTCATTTTTTGCTGCCTCCAAAGGGTCCATGTCCTATGATCCTGTGCTGTTTCCAGATGGCTTAGCACCACTAATCCAGCTATTTGCACATGCATAGGAAAGCCACTGGGGCAGTATCAACATGCAGGAGTTCCACCGACAGGAGGCTTTTAAGCACATCTGATATCAACAGAAGTTACTTCTACATAAAATGTGTTCCGAATTACGACCCACTTCAGCTTAGAATATGCAACAATCTAGCCAGGCTATGGTTGCTAATGCATGACTAGGAATGCATGAAATGTAATCCCCAAGCTTCAGAAATGATAGGCCTTGCACACCTTTTTTTTTTTTAATTTGGCATTTGCTTCGTTTGTTATATATACATATTTAAAATATGTACAAAGTAAAAATACAAAATAGACAATGTTTTTTTATAAGTTACACAGTTAGAAGCTAAGCTTCTCTTTGAGTTAACCCCCCCAAAAAATCACACCAAAAAAAAAAAAAAGATAACCCAGACAAAATATAATATTCTTCCATATGCATACTTGCAATTGCCTTGGTATAAAATATCCATACAGTGTAAGAGTACAAAATAGTGTACAGATCATAGAAGCTGTGCAAAGACAGCAAAGTTCAGTCAACAATCAAAGAGGCAGGTCCAGTTCCCTGCATCCACACATTGCACCTGCAGCAGCCACAAAACAAGGAGATGGCCAAAGAGCTGGGGACAAATGTGGAAATGGTATGAAGCAGACAGATGCATAAATTAACACAGAAATGTTCAACACTGGAACCAAGCCAGGGGCCATGGTTCTTGTGGGTGCAGATGGATGGTTTCAGGGGCAGCTCCAGTTTACATGCCCACACTCAGTAAGTGTGCTATCTGGAATAGCAACCACCAGCACCAGCACCCCAATTCACACCGGCTGCATTTTAGAGCTCAGCACACGAGGCTGGTCTGAAATCATTAACAACCACTTGGATTTTGCAGCATCGCATCAGCATCGCAACAGATTAGGGCTTATGGGGAAAAGATTGCTGATATTTTCAGAGAAATTAACACATCCTGGAATTAGCTAAGCGAATCATAACTGAATTAGGCTAATTATTCTGCTTCTAAATCAACATGATCTTAATACCAAAGGGGTGTGTATGTTTTAATGGCTTTCTAGTCTATAGTTTTCAATTGAAAAGTGCAAGACTGGCTGATTAGTCAGTGATCACAACAGGAGGATATTGAGGCAAGGGGTTCCTAATCAGGGTAGTTCTGGAATATGTCATACAGAAGCCCCAAGGTTGCATGATGATCAGTACATTGTCTATTTGAACCGTGTGGGTGTGGAAGGACACCACCTCTTCAATTAGATAGCCCTTAGTTTATTTACATCTTTGCAATGTCCCCTTTCATGATAGCAAGAAGAAGGGTCTCTATGAGACCGTGATCTCTTCTTCCTCCTCCTCCTCTCCCTCTTCATCCTCTTCCTCAGAGTCTGAGAAGTCTGACGGTTTGCTGGGGCTGCTGGAATGGGTGGGGGAAGGGAGCATGTGGGAGTCCAACCTGTCTCTCAGGCGTGGGTCATCTGTGGACTGGTGATATGTTAAGGAATGCCTGGGGCTGGCTGGGCACCGGGGTGAGACTGCTTCTTCCTCCTCCTCTCCAGAACCTTTCTTGCCTACGTCACTGAGATCTGGGTGAGGGTTGAACTTTGTGGGTAAAGTCTGCTCCCGGCAGCCACCAGATGACAGGAGCTCTCTCTCTTTGGAGTTTCTCCACTTCATCCTCCTGTTTTGAAACCAGATCTTCACCTAGAGTTTTCAAGGGTACACAAATAAGGTTTTGCAGCATCAAGGCTACCTGACAAACACCAACCATCAAGTACACATCCGGAGACACATTTGAAGAGCAGAATCCTTATCTCTCCCCACCCCGCACAAGATCCTCAAGGGCCACTCCCTAAGTGAGCTGCACTAAGCGTCAAAGATGACTCCACAAAGAAACAGTCGTACAATTATTTGAAAATTACTTGGGTTGTCCAAAAACAAAATGGGTTATATCCTGTCCCAATGTGGTGGCAGTAGAAGAAGCATGCATTTGCACAATGGGACTTTCCTTCCCTCCTCCGTACAGCCCCTTGTGCACCCTCAAAATCTGCTCTAAAGGTTGGGGGCCTCCAAAGCAGATTTGGGGGGCATAGTGGAGGGATGCAAGGGGGTGGAGAGAAGGGAAAGTCAAGTTTCATGAGCTAATGCCTCGTTGTTGCAAGAAGTTTTTGCATCTCTTTTCTAAAGTATGCATAATGGACACTACCATTCTAAGGTGCTCCAGGTCTGCATTCAGGGCAGCAACTCACAGGAAAGCTCATATATCTGGTGGCAGCCAGCACTTCCAAATTTTACCAATTTTCAGGTTTTCTCCTTGGCGAATACCTCATCCCCCACCCTTGTGCCAGAAATGCAAGTTAATATGTTGGACTAGCCCGAGGAGACCTCATGAAATTCTCAAAGGGGGCTGTGAAAATAAACCTGAGGGTGATGCGCATTGGGCTGCAATAATCATTTCTATTCTGTCAAGCTGCTTTGAGACAATTTTCTGGTGGAAAGCAACCAAGAAATGCAATAAAGGATAATAAAGTGTTTTTTGTTTGTTTATTTGCTTTCAGCAACTAATTGTGTGACACCTAACAGTGACAGTCTACTTGCAGAATGACCTTACATTCCCACAATGAGACTTCCCCTTCCTCTCCTCCCCAAACACAAGCCAGGGATCAACTTGAGAAATTAGTCGCATTGATTTGAATGAGACTAACCTATTCATGCAAAACTCTCTATGGCCCCATTTAAGAAATAATAATACTTAGAGGTAGCCAGGCATGCATACTTAAAACTAAGTCCCATTTATTTCAGTGGGGCTTACTTGCAGGTAAACAGTATAGTGCTATGCCAGGCATAGGCAAACTCAGCCCTCCAGATGCTTTGGGACTACAACTCCCATCACCCCTAGCTAACAGAACCAGTGGTCAAGGATGATGGAAGTTGTAGTCCCAAAACATTTGGAGGGCTGAGTTCGGGGATGCCTGATATAACCATAATAAATTTGTTCATTTTCAAAAGTGCCAGTAATCAAAAGACTGTCATGATTACATCTCACTGAAATCAATGGTAGTATAATACCACATTGAGAAACTTTCAGATTGTTCAAAGTTCCTCCTACCACAGAGCCAGGGGGTCATGTCTATTGGTCTTAAGTGCCGCCAACATTATCTGGATGAAGTCTTTGGCTCCAGTTCAGAAAGTCCCCTTATACTCACACTTCCCTTTGAGGAGGAGAGGTCTTGTTTTTGAGAAGTGAAAGTTAAATGTCTACCGCCGCCACCGCCAACCTCTTTCCAACCTGTGGCTTCACATTCTCTGTGATTGTCTAGGGGGAAAAAGAAGATGAGTTTACCTGGGAGTCCTTCAAGCCCAGCTTGGCTGCCAGTTTCTTCCTGTCTGGTTTGCTGATGTACTTCTGCTTCTGGAACATTTTCTCCAGGGCTTTGCGCTGCACATCTGAGAAGACAGCCCTGCGGAGCATACCTCTGCGTGGTTTCCCCCGGGCAGCCAGAGGCCAAGAGAAAGTGCCAGGAATAGGCACCACAGATGAAGCTGTGCGAAAAGGAAAAAATAAAGCACTGAAACAGGCTGGATCAACTTTTTTTTTTTGCTTTTTTTTTTTTAAAGAAAGACAAGCTTGGTTCCAAAAGTCCGGCTCCAAAAGATAGAATCCCCATCCCACTGAAGTCAAGGAGCAAATCTCCCTTTCATTTGCATGCCCATAGATTTCTCTCTTTTCCTTTCTCTTTCTTGCCACCTCTTTTTTCCTTTCTGTACTCTCAGCTGAATTAAGCAGATCAGCACCTATGAACCTAGTTTTGTGAAAGGGAGTTTACGCTTAACTTAACTGTCCTTTTCAACCAATGGTAACCAGATTTGATTAGATACACCAAGTGAATGTATCTATAGTTGGCCTGTTTTGTTACCAGATTCAAAGATCTTAACTTTCAAAAGAAAAGGCCAGGAAGATAGAGATATACTTTTAAAAGGGGGGAAAGGGAAGGGGGTAAGAACTCTCTCTCTCTCTCTCTCTCTCTCTCTCTCTCTCTCTCTTGTCTGAGTATTTAAATGTTCAGAAGTCCGTCCCCCCCCCCCATTGCAGGAACTTTATTTTACCCCAGATTAAAATAAGGGACTTTTCTTACAGGAACAAAAAAGTCCTTTTAAGTGGCAAGTTTTGATCAATCAGTATTCATCTTTTTAATATATGAATCTTTCCTCCCCTGCCCCCACCTCTTCCTTACAAAACTTGCAGAATTCACTCTGGAGACATGAAAAGTAACAGCTAATTAGCACATTGACTGGTTCCCAATGGAATTGGTATGATAAAAAGGGCAGAGTTTCGCCTTTAAGCGGAAAGAAAAACTCCCAAAGAGAAACAGAGATTCTAATGAAGCGTGAATGGTAATTGTGTAGTAATGAACTAACAGAAAAAGACTGAGGACAAGCAGCTAAAGCCATATATTATTGGAACAAAAGAGATTTACACTTTCAAACTAAACACAACTGCATGCCAAGCTCCTTGGAGAGAATACTGATGACACAGCCTTCTCTTTCCCCAAATCATTTTCATTAAATGGACATGAAAAGCTATATATAAGGCTCAAGTTGTTTTTGTTGGGCCATTCAAATGCTGGAGAAAGGAAGCAAATTCCATTATCAGGAGAGTGAATGAAGGAGCTCTTGGCTTTTGGTACAAAGTATATTAGCAGCTTGTTGGTAGAGTGATATTTTTGAGAGTCATTCTTCTTAACCGTCACTTTTCTCAGCTTCAAAATTAAGATTTGAAGTTAACTTGCCTAGGCATTCCTAACTTGAAAATGTTTAAAAGAATATGCTCCAAATAATCAGTTGAACACCAACAGCGGATTGGAGTAGATCTGTGTGTGATAATTTGGGGCATATTCTTCTAAACATATTTAATTTCAGTTTGACACCAGTAGAGGATTATAGATGTGTAATGGGAGAGGTATCCTCTGCGTATGATTCTACACACCCCATAGAAAAAGTTGAAAACCCAAACTGGCAGTGGAACATAACTTCAGTATGGAAATGTGGTATCTATAGGTGCTTCTTTTGTGCCTCTCTTTCTTTTGAAAACTTGGGGGAGCTTACCTGGGAAAAGGCTCTATTGATCTCCTTTCCAAACCACCTGCCTAACTGTAGCAATGCTGTAGCACCAGGTGATCCCCGGCTCATGCCAGGCGCTATATGTTGAGTGTTAATACTTTGGGTGGCAGAGGTTGCAATGGTCAAGTAACATCAAGTAGCAGGAAAGTTGGCAATCATCAGGGTAGTAGGGTGTGAATTGGTCCTGGCCTCCCAGCCTGATTCTGCAGAGCCTGAGACCCACCTGCTTCTGAGGTCCCTTTGAGATGGAGGTAGGTAATAACTTTCTCAGAGCAAAAGATTTGGAGGTGGGGGTTTGGCTTCGGCCACACCGAATTCCCAAACAAGGGAGCGCTCCATGTGGCCTTGTGAAAACGTTGGCAAAGCGAATGACCTTTAAAGGGAAATTAGCCCATGGCTGGTAAATGTCTATCAGCAGCACGGCGGAGTCAGCGCTTGGTCTGTGTGTGGTTGCCCGGAGGGAGCTGACCAAATTGGTCATGGTGCTGAAACTTTTGTTGCCGATCACCGGCTCTGTGGGAAAACCGCCGCCCTGAAGAGGAGGCCGGACAGCATCTCTGTGTCAGAATTGAACCGCCTCGCATTCGGACCGTGACAATCCCAGCTAATTTGTCGAGCAGGGGAGGGGCGTGGGGGGGGGGAGAAGAGAAATTGGGAACGAAAATGTCAAGCAGCCACAGCGCTTGTGCTAAATAGGGCATCAAATTGGCGCGACGGATTCTTGAATGTTGTACCCCGTCCAACCTCTGAACTGGAGGACGAGCAACGGCCTCCCCCCTCCCCCAACCACCACCCATCCACCGCCACCTCCCGGACCCTCCGAAAGATATAATTCGCTTTTGATGCCTGCAATAATGAAGGAGCAGTGGGTGGCGGGGGGGGGGGGCGAGCGCCGAGGAGGAGGACCCCAGACCTACCTGGAAAATAAGAAGACCTGATGAAAGGTTGGAAGGATCCTTCGAAATACGGGAAAGTGAAAGTCTTGGGAGGGACGTTCTGCATCAGCGCGTGGGAGGTTTCTGGGGAGAGCAGAGAAAATGCACATTAGTAAGGACGGGTTGAAGGCAAGGAGGGGCTGCGGCTTAGTGGTTAGAGCGCAGGCACTAAAATGCTAAGGGTTTCCGGTGGTTCAGTTATTGTCATCTCCAGGTAGCGGGATCGGAAGAGACGCCTCTGCCCTCCCAAGCCTGAAACCCCGGAGAGACAATGTCAGGATGCTGGGACAGTGGTCCTCCTCCACCTAGCTTCCTGTGCAACTAATGAATCACATTGACAAACCATTACTAGAACTGACATCTCTCTCTTTTTTGTCACGTCGGTGGTGCTAAAGAAGCAACCGCAGTCTCTCCCCCCCACCCCGGAATCGTGTCTACTGATTTACCTACCACAACTGGGAAGAATATCCAATTACTCCCCCCTTTTAACTCTCCCCACACCCGGTTTGTGACGCGATCCTCCCTACTGCTATACGAGTGTCCGTCCCCCCCAGCTCCTTCTCTCCTGAATGGGTGCGCAAAGGAGGAAGCTCCTGCCCCTCTCGTCAAGTCTCTCTCTTACACACACACACCTGGCACCTCCCCGCTCCTCCCATTGGCAAGGCCTCCTTCCCTGAGCCAACCCGAGCGGAGGCTCCCTCCCTCAGCTTCCCCCCGACGGCGCCGCGCGCTCACCTGTCCGGGGCGCCGACGACAGGATGGCGTGCACGCCGAACTTGAGGAAGGGCGCGTCGCTGGCGGGCGAGGCGGAGGCGGGCGCCGAGCAGCCCCGTCGCGCAGCGCCGTCGGAGTTGGCCGGCTCGGCCGACGAGGGTCCCGGCGGGCCCGTCCGGGCGGGGCTGGCGCCCGACAGAGGCGGTGGCGGTGGGGACAGGCTGGCCGGCGGCGGGGCGCCGCCGCCGCGAGGCAGGTAAGCGGCGGGCCGGCTGATGCGGATGAGGTCTTCCACCAGGAAGCTGGAGTGGCCGGAGAAGGCGGACTGCAGCGACTGCGGCAGCGTGAGGGTCGGCGTGGGCCGCAGGAGACTCGGGTAGACGGCGGGAGGCGCGATCAGGCTGGGGAACATCATGGCAGGAGACGGGGAGGGAGGCAGAGGAAGCGCCCGCCTGGCCAAGGGTCCAAGCCTCAGCTTGGAAGGGCTGGCTGTTGCTTTTCCAAAGCAGTCTTCGCCCCGCTTCCTTTTTCCTCCCCCCTCCCGCTTTTTTTTTATTTTTTAAACAAATGGTCTTGCTCTGTCTCCTTTTCTCTCGAGATCCACTTAAGCGAGACTGGCAGGCTTCTTCTCCCCGGCCTTTCTCTGGCGCAATGGGGTTTTATAGGGGTCCGGGCCGCTCAGGCGCTTCCCGAAGTGACAGCTCCCACAATGGGGTTCTCCCCTTGAGTTTCATTCATCGGGCACTCGGGGCTCCCTGATTGGTCCGGGGGCGCAATTTAGGATTGGATTAGGCTTCATCAGCAAGCCCCGCACAATGGGCCCGCCACAAAGAAGGGGCAGGCATCAATTTTGCATATTGACCGCCTCTTGGGGGAAAGGCGTCGCTCCGAGGGCGACCAGCGGGGTTTTGTTCCGATGCAAGGCGCGCGCGCACGGGACGGATAATTAAATGCGTATTTCTTATTTATTTATATATTTACAAAAAGTTTCCAGGGACATTTTCTCCCCCCACCCTCCTAAGAGAAAAAAGGGGGGAATTATTTTAAGAAAAGCATTAAATTTATTTGCGCGCGCTCTCTCTCTCTGTCCGTCTCTCACCCCCACCACCCCCGCTGGCTCTCAGGAAATAAAGCAATAAATATTCATATAAACTTATCTCGGAGCTTTCTGCAGAATAGAAAATACAAATGAGGCAACGTGAAATGAAATATTTGCCGCAGATGAAAAGGGTTTTTTTTAATATATGATCCGCTGTGCCTTTTGGGGGGGCTTTGTTTGGGGGGGGGGGTTAGTCTCGAAACAAGTTTCCAGTTGCTAAGGTTTAAACGGGCTCCCGCGACTGCTGCGGTTAAAGACCTAGTCATAAATCAGCGTTCTGGGATGGAGTGTTTTGGTGTGTATGGGGCGTGTGGTGTGTTTTTTTTAACTCATCCAAAGCAAAACTATATATAGGTCTGTATATAATGGAAATTAGAACTACATCTTCGTCGTAACTACTTTATGTCTGGCTTTGAGACATCCTGGGAAGCAAAAATATAGCTTTCTTTATTAAAAGCCATTTGCTGAAGACAAAATCTTACCCATTTTGGGAAACAGCCTTACATCGCATACGATTACTAATTCATATTATGTACCGATTTTTAAATTTAATGTTTTGTTTTGGACAATAAAATAAAGCATCGCTTTAAAAAAGAAGAAGACTTTAGCCGATTTGCGCTCCGATCCTAAATATGTTCCTTGGAAACAAAACCATTTATTTGCTGTTATGGAAGGTAAGTTCCTATTTCAACTCACGTCGAAGTTCCATTGCTTGATTTCAAGCGGATTCGCCTCCACTTGGAGGCGACCAAATCGGCGTCAGCCGCAAGGGCTCCTGCCATCGTACTGGGTTGTGCATCTCAACGGCGCTTTCTTTTCAAACAGACCCACGCTGCAAGGCACACCAAGGTAAGCCCCAGGCGTATGCCCAGTATGTAATGCGATGGGACTGGGCTTCCGAGGAACAGTGGACAAGACTGCACTGCCACTGTCGCTCCCTGTACGGGCTGATCGTATAACTATTTGCTTGATGTTTCAGCCCTCTAGCCTCTAAGCGGCTTTTTCGCAGACTTTCCGAAAACACCTCTCTGGAGGGGCAGTAGGGCTAGGCTTCGGAGCGAGACCGAAGAGTCCTGAAGACTGACACATTTATTGTGGCAGAAATTCCGCGTGCTGCAGCGCACTTCCTCAAGATGCATCGTTATGCTGAATTGCAGGTGTCTGGGAGAGAGGCAAGACTGCGAACAGGGAAGTCTGCCCTGGCTATCGAATGGGAAATTTAGCACAAAGCTCCTACTCCAACTCCAACCTCACTGAAAAAAGCGATATTCTGGTATTCAAGAAAAATCGTTGGTGGGTGAATGCATAAAAGAAAAACCAACGCAAACGTGCTGGGCAGTCGAAAATTGAGGGCAGTTAACACTGCAAAGAGGTCGTTGCAAAGGCTTTCTTTCCCTTTTCTTTTCTCTTTTTGAACCTCTCCGTTGCAGAATCTCTAACAGATGTGTTAAATCGTCGTATGTTTTAAAAGCACCCTATTCAGCCTTTTGGTGCTGAACTTTTAGCCGGCAGAAGCGTGCAGCCCGAGGCAGGCAGCCCTGATCCTATTAAGCATGAACTAACTGTCACCTTCAGCTGTTTCAACACCCCTCTTTTTTTTAACTTGGGGACACAAAGCTTTCTCCCTTCCAAAAAAATCTTATTAACCAGCTTTACTTTCTTTCGGTGGTTTTCCTTTGGGGTCTGGGCCTTCGTCTTTTCCTTTCTTTCTTGGGGGTGTGCGTGCGCGCGCTCATGATCTCCATGTCTCCATGCTTTAACCATTCGGAGGGGGGGGGAGAAAGTGCATCTGTGATTTATATCACATTAGCGAAGAAAGGACGTCTGTTCAACCTCTCCCTCGATTCAAATCAAAAAGTTATTTGAGGGAAGGGGAAGGGGATTAGTCTACGAAATAATATGGTGGCGTTAGAAGCCCCTCCTGCTCCCACCCCCACCCACAAATACCCCTATCCAACTGGGAGTAAGTAAGCACTGGCCCGAGTTGACAGCAAATCGAGTGGCTTGATGTTTAAGGCGCGATTTCCACGCATTACTATGTATTTTGGTGAAAACAAAGAAAAAAAACCTAAGAAATGGCACAGAGGGACAACGGATATCTCTTGCAAAAAGAGCAGAGTTTGGGCTCTGAATATAAATAATCCTCACTTTCCAATGCTCGTAGTGGGCTGGCTCTCGCTGAGGCTCCGCAGCTCTTTTGTGCTCCTGCGGCAGGAAGTTCCACTGCTCCATCTACTATTCTAAGTAGTAGCTTGATCGTAAACTGCAAAGGGGGGGGGGAGCAAATGCTCTCCGAATCTTCAAGCGCAGTGACTTCGAATTAAGTCCCATAACGCGGGTGCCAAGGGGACATATTTGGAAAGCTGCACTGATGGGCGGGGAGAAGTCCCCTTTGGGTGGTGTCCAACGTTGGCCATACTCAGTAAAGACCCACTAAATCAACGGACCTAAGTTAGAGTAGACCCATTGAAATTAATGGACAGGACTGAGTATGGCTAATTGACGGGGTGGGGATGGGATGGTGTACAAGTTCATCCCATTGAATCCAGTGGCGCATATTTCCAAGTAGTAACGGACCGGGCTAGTTCCTGGCACCCGCTGACTCCGGAGCAAATCTAAATGAGAAGTCAAAAGCTGCTGCAGAGTTCTTAATAGCATTCGGATTTGTTTCTAGTGTGGTTCCTTTTTTGCAACAATTTTGCAGAGACCGATTCAACATGAGAGAGGACACCGAAGACCACTAGAACCATGACTTTTAAAAATAAATAAATCTTGGAAGTCTTTGGAGGTTAGCATTTGGAAGCTGCAGAAAGTTTATTCGATCTTTTGCATCCAGTCGCGCTTCTGGAGACTGGAAAGTTATTCGTGTTTGCGCTGAGGACATTTGCTTAGTAGTACGTCCTATTAAGTCATGGAAAGGCACGGGCTGCACATAGCAGCTGTTATTCAGGTGCAATAATTATATAGCGGCTGTTATTTAGGTGTAATAATTAAGACGGATCTAAAGGATATGAGGTTATCTTTGCTGGAAGAGAAAGGGCTGCTCAGAATTAGGCTGAACCTAAGGAAATGATCCTTCCTCAAGTTCAGACATGAAGCAACTGATCAGAAACAAATACTCCGGCTTTGTACTTCCTGATACGAATGAGAAACCACCAGGTCATTCATAAGCACAAGAAGGGAGGGGATCCTTACCATCCTTTACGCACGGGTAATGAATAAGACAAAGCTGGTTAAATGTGCTTGAGGAGTCACTAGTGCGCATGGGCGGAGCCATGATTTTTGTTGGGGGGAACAGGACTTTTGTTAGGGGGGGCAGATGTGATTGGTCAGTTACTTAAGTATTTCTATTGTTTTACTTAATGGGGGGCAGCTGCCCCCCTTGGCTACGCCCATGCTGTAGTGCGTAACTACTAGCCCTTGCAAAAGACCCCCTTTTCAGGGCATGTTCACTTTCAGGTTGTGCTTATTTTATTTCTAGCACTGGAAAGAAGGAAGAGCATTTGTGGTTCCTCACTCTGGGCTACTAAAGTTTTGCCATTATTTAATTCCATATCTCGAGGAAATGGAGAAGGGGGGGGATACGGTTTACGATATTTCTGTTATTTCAACTCATGTCAATAAATCAAGCCAGTGAGAACAGACGTTCTTGGGATAAAGCTCAATGGGGAGCGACCGCATTTTGAAGCGAATACTCTCTGGGAATTTGCTCGCTAAGGAATGGGTTCGGATTTGGGACGCCAACCCAATAGGCTTCAGTCCGACTTAGGCCCCCGACCTTCTTGAAGCGAGCAGACTTCTAAGCGCAAGAGTTTCAGAAAACCCTAATCCCTTGGCCATTCATGTTTTGCATACCCTCCAACATTTCTCCGATGAAAAGAGGGACGTCCCATTCCATAATGATAATTTTACTGTTTATACCCCACATATCTTATTGGGTTGTCCCAGCAAATCTGGGCAACTTCCAACATATATAAAAACATAATAAAACATTTAGAAAAACCCTCCTATACTGGGTTGCCTTCAGACAACTGGGGGTCGGATAACTCCATACCCTCCAACATTTCTCCAATGAAAACAGGGCCATCCTAAGGAAAAGTGGGACATTCCGGGATCAAATCAGAAACCTGGACGGCTTCTCTAAATCAAGGATGTCCCTGAAAAATAGGGACATTTGGAGGGTTTGGTTGCCGCTAGTAGGATACAGATTGCCACAACCCATTGTTTCGGGTGGGGAGGTGATTAAAATGGAAAAGTATTTACGCGCTGTTATCCTTAGAAACCTTTCTGTTTATAATTCGCTTTGGTCATAACGTGTGTAAACGCAGTGAGCGAGCAGGCGCCACATCCCAAGAATCGGAGCGCAATCCACAGTCCCACCGACGCTGGGGTACCTGGAGGCAACAGGTGACTGGCATAACTTTCTGAGACAGGTCTGGTGTGACTGCCAGCCCCATTCACAACCCCGAAAATATGTGACGTTCAAGGCTGCAGTCCGACGGAAAGACCCGCGGAGCCCCCAGGGAGAAGGACGGGCTTCCGAATCAGAGCGGATCCGGTGACGCGCCACAGCAGCTCCAGCGACTTGTCTGGCTTCAGGGGACCGGAGGCGAAAGGCGGAATTGCGGCCCAGGCAGGCAGGCAGTCGCATGCCCTTTCGTGGCAGCTGCCGTGGCCCCGTCGGGCTGCCGGGAGGCGAACCTTTGCATTGCCTCTCATGTGGGTCCGCCGCCCGCAGAGGCGCCCACGTGGCCCCGGGTCCCGGGCTCTGTTTCGGGGGCGCGCAGGAGACTTCTCTTAAGCAGCGCGGCGAAAGGGGCCCGAGGAGCTATTGAGAAGGGAAGGCCGCCGCCCAAGAAGCCCAGAAATCGGAGGGAAGGGATCTTCCTTTTCAGCGATTCCTTTGGAAGTGTCTTTTCAAAGGCGCTGGGGGTGGAAGGGAAGGGACTTCTCCCTCTAAAACCTGTGACGAATGCCGCTTGACCTGGGATCGGCGGCGCGGGGAGAGGGCGGGATGCTGCGTCCTACCATTCATTTCCATGTCCTGATCTCCCAACTTTCTTCCTTAACTGTCACTCGGCGGCTTTGTTGCCGTTGTCCGCCTCTCCTTCCACTTTATGGCTAAAAAAAAAATAATCAAATTGGGGGGTGTTGCTGGTGGAACTTGGAGCATGCACAGAGGGATGGAGGGATCCAGGCAGGGCCCTGCCCCAAAGACATCTTGTTGCCTGGGACTAAGCATCTTTCACCCCTCCCATTAAGGCTCCAGGCCCCCAAAGCCCACAATCACCTCTTCCCCTTCCAGGCAGTGAACAGCCAGTCACAACAGACTGGTGCCACCAACCAATGCTGCAGTAGCAGCATCCCTGTCACTTACCAGGACAGTCTGGTGGGACGCCAGATGGGCTTTGTCGGTGCTCTGCTGCTACCCCAACCTCACCAAGGCTCTGATCCTGCCTGTACCCTCCAGGCAGTAAAGCTGCTGCCTGGAGGCCAGCTGAGAGTTCCTGGACCCAATGTCAGTTATACACAGCACAGACCTGTGGAAATAATGGACTAGAACAACTTCAAGTTTTTCAGTTTTAATGGATCTACTTGATGTTGGTAGTGCCAGCTGTTATGCAAGGTTGATGGAAGCTACTAACCAAAGGGGCACTGTGGGTGGTAGCTGTTCCTGACCCAAAATGCCAAGTTAGTTGTCCTAGTTCAGGGACGTCCAACTCCCAAGAGACTGCGATCTACTCACAGAATAAAAAACTGGCAGTGATCTACCCCTTTTTTGGGGGGGGGTTCAGGTCAAAATTGTTGAGCTTCTTTAAGGGAGGAATGTCCTGGGTTTTTTGGGTTCAGCTAAGGAAACTACTGGCATCTTCCGTTCCAGCAATCATGCAAAAATGGAGGACGGGGTGAGGGGGCGGGATCAGATGCTCTTATGCCACCACAAAGGAAAAGGAGCCAGCGATTGACCGGAACCTCCCGGGGATCGACCAGTCGATCATGATCGACCTGTTGGACATCCCTGGTAGGACATTTGCTAGCATGTGCTAGTCAGTTTCTTAGAATTCGCCTAGATCCACGGTTCTTCTGGAACCAGTCTCCTCAGAGTTGTTTATTACCACATTCATTTTCTGAGTTTCACCTCCATTACTACATCCATCTTCTGCAGTATGGTGTTTCTTCAACTTCTCAAAGTTAGCATCACCCTGTGAGGAGGAACTCTTGAACATTACGTGAAAGAGTCCAGCTCATTAGGAAATGGGCCTTTTTTCACAGGTTGCCTAAACAATCTACAATGAACAAATTCACAGGACCATGTGGTTTATTTTGGATGGGTGCTTAAGGACATAGGCTTGGGTCCTAACTTTCCATTATCAGAGTTCACATCCACAGAATGCCTGTGCCCCCTGCCTCTGTCCTGTTGCTTCCTGTACCTCCTGAAAATCTGCTCCTGGGTCTTGGGGACTATGGTATGGGGTACGTACAGGGCTCTGCAAATGAAATGGGAGAAGTTTGCTGTCAACTTGCACAAAGTCAACAAAGTTCTGTTGCCTAAACTGCACCATCCATGGATGCAAGGGCGAAGCATCAGCTGGCAAAAGAATTGCCAACTGCAAATAAATATTTAAGAGGAAAACTTCAATGAAGGGGAGAATCCAAACACAGCTCAATGAGGAATGAGCATGCTCAGTGTTTGTGGAATAATGAGTGACTTGGTGGTCAGCAGCCAGCAGCAGTTTCACTTAGCTGATTGCAGCCTCTGGGAGCTTGTGACCAGGACTTGTTAAAAAGGAGTGTTTGTCAGGGATTGGTGAAGGAGAAGGAAGAGAATGAGCTTGTGTCTTTTGGATGAAGGCTGGTTGTTTGAGCTGTTTGGAGGTTTGATTGTGATTTTGTGTGTGTGTGGCCTCTGCTAGAGCACAGGGTCTAAGAGAAGAGAAGGTACAGCAACTTGAGGCTCATCTATCCACACTTTGAGCTACTAGGTAAGATGATGAATTTCTTGATACAGCAGAGTGGACTGTCCTTGAACAGTGAGGCAGGTGGGTTGCCCCTAGAGAGAAGGAAGATCATCTACTGCCGGAGATGAAACCGTGGAGGAGTGTGACACATAGAAGCAGGACAATCAGGATCCATGCTGTTTCACTGGTTTAGCAAAATATAGGAAGAACTTCTGGCAAGAAATGGGTTGCACCTCACAGTCGTTGGCAAGAATCTATTTGCTTATAGTCTTGTGAACCTGATCAGGAGATTTTTCAAAGTAAATGCTGAGGGGGAAGGAGACAATATTACAGATTGCAGGGGAACACCTGGTACTGGGTATAATAGCTTCATTGATGCACAGGAAACTGAGGTAGCGCTACAGAAACATGCTAAAGGGCAGGAAACTACAAGAAGGAAGCAGCTGGAGGGAATGACTCATGGTTTCAGTTGTCTCTATACTAATGCACAGAGTATGGGAAACAAGCAAGAAAAATTTGAGCTCTTAATGCAAGATGGTAAATATTACTAATGGGCATTACTGGAATGAGATTCATGACTGGAATGCAGAAACTGAGGGATATAACCTGTTCAAAAGGAATAGATCAAACAGAAAGTGAGGAGTAGCAGCATTATATATAAAGGATGTATACACTTGTAAAGAGATCCATGAGCATGGAAGGCAGATGTAGGAGAAGGAAACAACAGAGACATTACTTTGAGTGTCTGCTATAGACTACCATGCCAGACTGAAGACTTGGATGAAGCCTTCCTACAGCAGAATACCAAACATTAAAAAAGGAGAGATATAGCAGCCATGGGAGACTTCAGCTACCCTGATATCTCTTGAAACTCAAACTCTGCCAATAATGTAATATGCAACAAATTTTTCAATTTCAATACAGATGAATGTAAGGTTTTACACTTAGGTAGGAAGAACTAGCTGCACAAATATAAGATGGGAGACACCAGTACATGTGAAAAGGATCTTGGGGTCTTGGTGGACCACAAGCTTAGCATGAGTCAACAGTGTGATGCCACAGCAAAAAGAGCAGATGCTATTCTAGGCTGCATTGACAGATGTATAGTGTCCTGATCAAGGGAAGTAATAGTATCACTCTATTCTGCCTTTGTCAAACCTCACCTGGAATACAGTTCTGGGCACCACAATTTAAGAGGGATATTGACAAGCTGAAATGTGTACAGAGGAGGTGACTAAGTTGGTCAAGGCTCTGGAAACCAAACCTTATGAGGAATAGTTGAAGGAGTTGGGTGTGTTTAGCCTGGATGAGAGGAGACCGAGAGGAGATATAATAGCCATCTCCAAATAGCTCAAGGGCTGTCACATGGAAGATGGAGCAGGCTTGTTTTCTCCTGCTCTAGAGGGTAGGACCTGAACCAACAGATTCAAGTTACAAGAAAGGAGATTCTGACTAAACATTTGGAAGAGCTTTCTGATGGTAAGATATGTTTGACAGTAGAACAGACTCCCTGAGAGAGTCGTGGGCTCTCCTTCCTTGGAGGTCTTCAAGCAGAGGTTGGATGCCCATCTATCATGGATGCTTTAGTTGGGTTGGACTTTATGACCTTCGGGGTCCCTTCCAACTCTACAGTTCTATGATTCTATGTCCTGTTGGGGGGAGAGACTGAGAGACAGCTTAGTTTGGGCTTTGTAAGCATCTTAGGGTGCTGAGTGTCCCTAGAGCAGGCATGGCCAAACTTGGCCCTCCAGCTGTTTTGGGACTACAACTCCCATCATCCCCAACCACTGGTCCTGCTAGCTAGGGATGATGGGAGTTGTAGTCCCAAAACAGCTGGAGGGCTAAGTTTGGCCATGCCTGCCCTAGAGATCTGATATGCTGAGCAGTGCTTCTGTCCATCTAGTAAGTGTTCACGCTGTGTGTCTCCAGGGGGTTGGAGTAGCTGATCCTCAGGGTTCCTTCCACTTCTGCTGTCCTATTTCTATAATTCTATGATTTATGGTGGGGCAGAAAACTGGAGGCTGGGAAAACAAAATGGAATGGAATATGTGCAGGAGGGCATGGCTGGTTGGCTGAAACATTGAAAAGGCTCACTTGTAAATAATAATTCATCAATGAAAATAGATACAATACATTTACTACTACAGAACTAAGTTTTGGATTGTAGTCTATCATCCTATTGTAATCTGGCATGGAAAGATTTATGCATAATTTTAATGGAAGTACATTCCATTAGTTATCTTTCATTTGCTTACATTATAGAGAGTTCAAATTGAGCCGTACTACATGGACATACAGGCATATGAAGGCTACTGGAAGTTCCCTTGCAATTGCTGCACATAACTTTTCCTAGAGAGCCAGTGTTGTGCATATACCCCCATCAAAACTGGGTACCTCGAAGCACTACTGCTAACAATTTGTTTTAAAAGGCACTAAGCAATTGTGGGTTGACAGTGGTGTGACACAAGCCCGGTCCTGTGAATGGTTACACTTGTGCAGGGTCAATCCAAACAATGCCTGGTCCCTCAGCCTGCGAGAGCAGTAAAAACTTCAACAATTACCCGTCTGCTGTATGACATTCACTATATGCAGAAATACCTGTGAATGGGCTCACCTTGGCAGCTTAGCACAGACCACTATGGGAACTCATTTATGCAGTAGGCTGATGTGTGTTGTTTAATTTAGGTTTAGGTTGGGCAGGTAAGGGAGCTTAGAACCCAAGACCAAATCAGGAAGCATCATCCATTTAAACAGGACTGC